ACCGACATCATCTTCTCGAGACTCTCCGGCGAGCGCGAGACGATGGCCGCGTCGTCAGCGTAGAGCATGGCCCACAAGGCCTCCGCGTCCGTCACCACCGTCGTCTTCTTCCCCGCCGACCTGCCCTTCTTGCCCGTGTACTCCACTTGTGTCCCGATCTTGACCATGTCCGCCGTCACCTTGGGGTCCTTGTCGAACTCGGCCACGGCGACCATGAGCATCGCGGCAAAGAACAAGTTGAACAGCAGCGGGGCCAGGTTGCATCCCTGTCGGAGGCCTTGGCCCACGTCGAACCATTCCGAGTACTGCCCGTCGTTCTTTCGGACGCGCGCCCTCATGCCCTCGTGGAAGTGGCGAATGACCGCCAGCATCTTCGGGGGCACGCCGAAGCGTCGGAGCACGTCCCACAGTAGGTCTCGGTCCACCGAATCGAATGACATGTCCGAATGTGTAGGGTGAAGGGAAAAAACTTCCTAAACCACCGATAGTAGCTCCGTGTACTATGACGTCACATCCCATACACATACGAAATGCACCGAAGGCACCAAGTTTTATTGTAGTACCCTACACGTGTAGCAAAGATACCGCCAGATTGTGCGCTGGAGAATGAGAAGTGAAACGGCTTCAACCATGGTACGCCTCAACCATGGTACGCCGCACATGGTCGGTCTTCACTTTGTTGTTAATGCGCCGACGGCCCCGACTTCGGCCTTCCATCGGAAACAGAACATTCCAGGCGGGAGTCGGGCGACACAACGCCGAGCGGAATTGTGTTTGAAGTACATACTCTTATGCGAACGAAGAAGCCGCGTGCTCGGGAACACATCACCAAGGAACAAGGCACTCCTCTGTTTCGTGGCGAATATTGGGCAGTACACTCTCTCAGGCCGTTCCCCCGGTGACCACTTAGTCGGCCGGCAGCGTAAGGTCGGGAGAGGAATGTGCTAGTGAATCATCCGACGCAAACTCAGTGCCGTGTTGCTACTCTCAGACGCGAGGGGAAAGCACCAAACTTAAAAAGAGCGACAAAAGCACACCGTAGGCGGTAGAAGAGCAAGAAATCGAAAATACAACGGGCACAAACAAAGGCATGTCCAACTGAGAGAATAGCAACCTGCAGATACAGATCTTCGCGTACAATTTGGCATGCAGGACCGCATACTGGCTCCGACGTCTGGGACAGTCATTACCAAGGTGCTTGTTCAGATAAAGCAGATCTGGCCAAGCGCGAGGCTACCGAAAACAGCGCACAAAAAAATGATGACGTCAAGCGTGACCGCCTGCCTGTCCTGCAGCAATTATCCTCAAATCCTTGTCAATACTTACCTCCTGGGCTCACACCCGGCACGGGGGCGGCGGTGGGGGCGACAGGACGTTCCCACTGGGTGGTCTTCGTGACGTGGTTTTCGTAGTACACCTGGCCCGAAGATGTGGTCTTGACGGACCAGCCTATGACACGACACGACAGCAGAAAAAGTCACCCGCCGTTGCGGGCGACATTGAGGTGGGGGTTACCTCGGAAGTCGGCAGTTGATAAAAGTGGCTGCTTCCCTTCGTGCCTTAAACGGGCCCCACCATGGTTAAGGAGGGATTGTCGGCGCGTGATCTTGAGGGCCGATGTCGACAAACGTCAGATTTGGATCTCATCGCGGGCATCTCCTCACGCCACCCCCCACCCCCCTCCATCCGTTGCCTTCACCCACTTAAAACCCGCTGAAATACGCAGGCCTTCTACCTCATAGTGTTGTCGAGTTATCAAGTGCCAACTCCCAAGGTGGTGTCTCTGTCGGCATGTTAAGTCGGGTTCTAGGCTAAGTAGACTGCCGCTACAGAACCAACGCGATGCCAACGCCCTCTCTGTTCTCTGTGTAGGGAGTATATACCGCAATCTGCTCTGTCGTAGCCCCGAGATACAGTCGTAGCCCCCCCTCCCCACCTTTCCGGCCTTGAAGCATGATCTCTCTGTCGAAGTCCTGGGGTTGGGTGTTTTTTCCTAAAAAATGGAACACGCCCCCCCTTCATTCGATGAAGCTCCTGGGCAACATGCCCAAGAATACTAATAACATGCCCAAGAATGCTAATAGCAATCACCCCCGGGGCTACGAAAGAGACTTTCCCCACATGACATGATACTTTTCCGCCAAGCAGCGTTCATTTGGGATGAAATTCATGGCCTGTTGTTGGGATTCAGACCTGCTCAGGATCTTTGGAACGAGCCAAGCATCTCCACGTCTCTTCGTCCTCTCCCTCCTCCTTCTTTTTCTCCTCCCTGTTCCTTTTGTACTACTGCTTCTAGACATTCTCCATCTTGATGCGTGTGGCGTTTGGGAGGTATGTGTGTGTGTGATTTATCTTCGCCCCGGGGTGATCTCCCCCGGGGGTAGTGTTAACGACAATGCAGAAAACGACCTCTCCCTCCTTTCCGTGTGGCCCCCGGGTGATGTGCTCTAGGAAAAAATAACGACCCCCCCCCGGTTCACGACAGAGCAGATTAAGGTACCCCACCTCGCCCCCAGCAAAACCGTGCATCAGATCTTACCGGGGGGGAGCGGAGCTTGGGGCTTGTCGTAGGTGGTGATCTGAGGTCAAGCAGGTGGGAGACGAACACAGAATGAGCACGGCACCCCCCGGTGTGAGGAGCATCAAAAACGTTGAAGTCACGATGCACTCTGCCCTGCCTCGTATCTATGCGTGTTATGATTGTCCATCATCGTCAGAGCGACCACACACAAACAACATATTTGCACCCTGTTCCGCCCTTTCACCCCTTTCTGCCTAAACTTTGGTGGCGATTCCAGTAATATTGCACTGGCGACAAATGGTTATTCGTCTCGAACGAGGTGAGCAGTTATAGCTCACATGAGACGAGGCAACCAAAAACGGAGCTCGCCCCGTGCGCAACGACCAAGGAGGTGAAACTGGCCGGTACGGACTCATCAGCGGGTAGATGGGCTGCCGAACGGCGGGGAATCGGTCAACACCCGGCAAGCGCGTCCTCCGGCAGGGCCGGTATGCACGTGTATGCGGGGCGAATTATTTCTCTCGTACGCTCCCCGATCCCTCCTATAACACGAAACTCGTTAAAATACTACGCAGTACAACAGCAATGCGGTAGTTCATCACAACCACCTCAGCAATAAAATCATCCAATACAAGACGATTCAACGCCGCTTAGCACCCGTAGCTATCCCGGCTACGCCGCACGAAGAACGTCCCCGGGAGTGGACAACTCTGTTCGGCAGATTGCAAGTTTTACGCTTGTTTTCTCGAGGTTGAGCCCTGAAACAGCAGGCGCTGGACGGGCACAGAGTGCACTCACCCGCGTCCAGTAGACAAACGTCAAGGCCAGCGGGCGCGTGAGTTATCATCACCCCCGTGACGTGGAGAACGTGGTGCCGCTCGGTGGTATTTGCCTGTTCGAACTCTGTTCAACTACATATGCGTGTTGAAACAAGAGCGGTGCGGATGATGAGGTATCTGTGTCCTGTAGGGAGTGCAGATGTGGTCTTACCCATCCAACGTTTCTTTTGTTCTCGGTCTGGTGCGTGCCTTCTGTGTTTGTTGTCTTTTTTTAGCGTGCTAGGGACATGGTCGGGCGAGTCAACAAGGCGAATATGGCGTCGACACGCCAGGACCTGTCCGAGAAGCAACCGCTGGGAGAGGATCGGCTACACGAGGACTCTGTGCCGCAGGTCACAGGACCCGGCGTACAGGGGGTGTGATAACAAGGGCTTGTTGGTGCACGACGGCTCTCCGCAGCGCGGTGCTGCTGCAGGGCTCTCAGCAGTAGCCGCGCTGAGGGTGTTGGTGGTTGGCGGGAGAGCTGCCTCTCCGAGTGCGGGTGTGGGTGCTGCGGGAGTCTCAGCAGTAGGTTTTGCTTGGCAGGTTTCAGCGGCACCCGCGGTGGCAGGCGCAGCCGGTGCTGCGGGAGTCTCAGCCGCATTCTGTTGGGCGGGCCTCAGCACACGTGCGGTGTCATGCGCAGCTACTGAGGGAATCGTCCCAGCAGCCCCTATTCGTGGGTCTGCGAACATTGGTGTTGGATACATGTATGTGCTGGATGATTTGGTGTCGCGCAGACCGGTAAGATTGCCGTTTGGTAGGGGGCACCTCGATGATTCACGGGGGCCCTCCTTGCTGGGGAGCCCCTCTTTGAGCACTCCCTCTTTCGTCCGTGTGAGGGACGGTCATCTACCTCTCGTGAAGTTAATACATCACCAAAACAGTCTCACCCGATAAATAAGTGACGTAGGCCGCGAACACTCTGGAGGTCTTTGCCCCTCTAGGGAAGCCACATTGGGATGAGCTCTGCTGGAGACGAAGAGCGCACTGCTGCGAGCGGAGAACAGATCCGCCCGCCGGTGCAGGAGGGCCGCGATGCAGAGCTTGCAAGTTTGCAACTGCAGATTTCGCAATTGGCGGCCCTGGTGAAGGAGTTGGTGAAGAAGAAGGAGCCTGGCAGCGTCGTGGCGGATGCAGCCAGTAGGGGCGGCTGGGTTGCTGCCCCCAGAGGCCAACAAGAACCCCTGCAGCCGCACGGCGGAGGCGGGAGATTTCTCCAGCAGCAAGCGAGAGACGGTGGGCAAGGATCACGTCAGCTGCTGGAAGGCGGCTGGGCCAGCAGATCGGGAGCAAAATCCTGCGAGACCAGCCCGAGTGGGCCCGGGCATGGACCGGACTACGGGGAAGCGAGGGGGTTCAACCCCCCAGGTGAGATACCCGTGATTCGAGGAAATGGAGAAATTCCTCAACGGCTGCAGCAGTAGCCACATGAAGAGAGTAACAGTCAATGCCCCGCGTCTCGAAGGGGAGAGTCGCGGCCATGGGGATGACTCGTGGAGAAAGTCGTTTTTCCAAGCGGCCAAGACTGTAGGACTGGACGGCCAATTGATCGGCAACAACGAGAGACATGCACCTGTCGGCAACCCAAACGTGCCAAGCTCGGAGCTGTACCGCCTCCAATACACCAGCGAGGTCCAGAGGGGCCTCGAAGCGTTCCATTTTGTGACCACTGCCATCGTCAGAGAAGCCGACAAGGCGATCGTGAACAAATGCGAGACCGCAAAAGAGATCCTCGCGGAACTCGACAAAATCTACGATCCGGAGTCGCAGGGCTCGAAACAAGCCCTTATGAAGCAAATGTTCAACTTCACGATCCCTCCACACAGCAGCAGAAACCCCATCGAGCACCTGTACTCGCTCGAGCTGCTGTACTCACGCCTTCGCGAAAAAGGGCTCAACGCTGAACAACCCTTCGTTCTCGCCCACTTCGTTGGTTCCCTCCCATCCGAGTACCAACAAGGGAAGTTCCTGTTGGAAACAGCAACGAACGGCGCTGGATAGGGCCGAGATAGTCAGAATCGTGAGCGCGGTGCACGCGAGCCTTCCGGAGGGGAGGACGGCCTCGAAGGGCCAGCGGAGGGCTCTCCTCGCGAGCGACGGTAGCGGCGGGGGAGGAGCGCCGGGCCGCGGCAACAGCGGCCGCCGCAAGGGTGGCGGCGGCGGCGGCGGCAACCAGAAGGGGAGAGGGGGTGGCGCGAAGGCTGGAGGCGGCAGCGGAGGCGGCGACGACGATGCGGGTAGCATGCGCGGTCGCTGTTTCCGGTGCGGTAAGAAGGGCCACCAGGTGGCCAACTGCCCCGAGAGCAAGCCCGTGCGATGTGAGACATGCAAGGGCTACGGCCACGACAAGAGCAAGTGCCCGACCGAGGGGACGGTGCTCGTGGTGGAAGTGTCGGCGGGGGGGGCGTCTGCGAACGCCACANAACCGAGAGAAAGCCCGTGCGATGTGAGATATGCAAGGGCTACGGGCACGACAAGAGCAAGTGCCNCGCCACAGCACTGGACGTGGCAGAAGAAGCGCTGGTGGTCGGTGACATCTCAGGCGAGTGTCACAAAGTCGTTGGTCGAGGGGGTGTAGAGCAGGCTAGGCGGGGTAGGTATGTTGCCGATACCGGCGCTACCACCCACATGTTCGCGAACTCAGATGGGTTCGTTCGTTACGAAGAGTGTGATCGACGTGTGCGCGTCGCCGCCGGAGAAACCTTTTTGCCCATTGTGGGGTACGGCGACGTGACGGTAAACCTTAGCTCGCGCGCCGGCACAACCGACCTGATGTTGAAACGGGTTGCACACGTTCCTCGACTGGATTACAACCTAGTTTCTCTCACTTCCCTCTTCGACGATGGGTTCGAAACCAAAACCCTCAATAAACACGAGTTGGAATTGGAGAGAGGGGGGGGGGAGGTGGTGTCATTCCCCCGATGCGGTAACCTGTACGTCCAAAACGGTTTCCGGACACACAC